TGAGGAGGAGGAGGGGGCCGAAGAGGAGGAGGAGGAGGAGGAGGAGGAGGAGGAGGAGGAGGAGGATGGAGGATCGGAGGGGGATCGGAGGAGGAGGGGGATCATCTTCCTTTGGTCCCTGCGCGCGCCAGGAGTTCCGTTGAAACGCAGCGCCACAAAGTGGCCCCGCCTTTGGCGCAACCTGTGGCGCAACCATCGACGCAACCTATGGCACGCCCTGAGGGCGCAACCTAAGGCGCAACGTAAGGCGCGATTTGTGGGGCGCCGTGGGTGCGCAACCTATGGCGCAAGCTATGGCACGCCCTGGGGGCGCATCCTATGGCGCAGCTTACGGCTCGACCTATGGCGCCCGGGCCCAAGCTTTGTGGTGTACACAAGCTTTGTGGTGTACGCTTGCATTCTGGTGCAAACACGGGGCGTTGAAACAGCAGCTGTGGTGCACGCGGGCGCCGTGGTGTGCACCAACAGTGAGATGTACAAGTGTGCTGTGGTGCACCCGCCTGTCATGATGCGCTCAGTCGCCGTGGTGCACACACATACCATTTCTGCCGCAGTTGTGGTGTACAATGGCATCGCGGTGTACAGAGCCTGTGTAGTGTGCACAGGCACGGTCGGCTTCGACGACGACGACAGCGGCGACGACGACGACGACGAAGCCTACCGTGCCGACAGTTGTGCTGGTAATAAGTACCAGGGCCCGTGCGAGGGCCCCGCCGCACGTTACCGTTACCCCCAACTTGGGGCCGGACCCCCCCCCCCCCCGTAACGGGCGTTACCCCCCCCCAATGAAAAAAAAACAAGCTCACAGTGGTCCCGCCTGACGACGATGAATTTGAGGCGGCACGTCAGCAGTCGCAACGTGGGTCTGGACTTTAGCATCGGGTACTTTCAGTTTGACGCTGCCGCGCCTGAGTTCCAACCGGTGGTCGGCGAGCCTTCGAGCTGGTGGTCATCCACCTGGGCTTCGTGTACCGCGGCTCCGTCCTGTTCCTCAGGCGTCGACCCCCCCTGGGCTGAGAAGCAGGAGACCTCGACTCGGGGGCCCCCGTCCGCAGGCTGGTGTCGCCAGGCGCCAGGACCTCGGTTGGAAGAGTCCGAGTGGGGAATCGCTGGAGCTCAGGGGGCGCGAGTGCGCGCCACAGGTTCTGGGTGTACCACGACGGCTGGATCCTCTGGGTCTGGTTTTTCTTCTTGCATGGCAGGAGGCGGAGGGATCCGGCCCCTTGTCGTCACAGCCTCCTGCCACAGGTTCGCCTCTTTCGGCCTCAACGGGAACGGCGAGCCTGTGTCCAAGCTGGGAGGCCTCTGCGGGTGCGGGGGCTAGCTCTGCTTGGACCTGGGTTGGCTCTTCGTCATGGTTTGCAGGTTCGTCGTGGTTTTCGACGGCGGCGCCTTCTTCGGTTCCACGAGCGGCATAAGTGGAGCTGATGGGTCTTCCGCCACGTAGTGACGATGAAGGTGCGGGTACTCCACGGGCAGTGTATGTTGAAAACCTTGTTTCGGCTGCTACCAAGTGGATTCCTGCTTTGACGGATGCTTATGCGGGTTACGAGTCCTGGGTGGAGTGGTGTGTGCCTTTTGTGGTTGCGCAGATGCGGTTTCCACCTCAGTCTTCTTGGGCTCCTGCAGAGGCTCTGAGGGACGGTCTCACCCCAGAACAGTTTGCTCGGCAATTGTGCTACGGAGTCTGGCAGAGTGCTGGACGTCGGCGTCGCTACGTGTTGGAGTATTTCGACTGGCCGGGCCATCATGGTATGGAGACGCCTCTGCAGGAGGCCATCAATAGTCATTGGTTGTATTTTGCCCGCATCAAGAGGTACATGCGCCGCTTTCTCGGTGAGAGAGCGCCAGACAGGGAGAGACATATGTTTCTCTACGACGACGTCGGCTCGGACGTCAGGCCTCCTGATCATGCTGTTGGCGGGGGTGCCTGCCAGGCTTGCCGTCGTCCTGTGCATGTTGATCGTGCTCCGCCTTCGCGTGGGGAGTTTGTAAAAAAAATGCTGCGGGTGCTGCTCGCCCTCCTCCCGTCCACTCGCACTAGCAAAGGTCAAGGTGAGGTTGTCATTTGGACTGCTAACGCTACCTCGTGGAGCTCGGCCCTAGCGTATGTGCAGTCAAAAGGCGACGCCAAAAAGCCCAAGTTTGTCCAGCTTTTGTTGCTGCAAGAGGTTGGAGTCAGGCCTGAGGAATTGGACCAGAAAGAGAAGCAGCTCCGCGACCAGGGATTTTTCGCGTCCGCCAGTCCCAGCAGGGTTACTGATAAAGACGGGCTGTCGGGGGGGCGTCGGAGTTGGAGTGCCGCCGTCCGTCGGCATGGGAGTCGTTCCAGCGAGAGTCGACCTCCCGATGCCCCACCGAGTCCTGGCGAGATGGGTCAATGCCATCATCCCTGGCGGCTTCATCTTGGTGTCCCTGCATTTGCCCACTGAGGCACCTTTCGGTGCTGACGGGTCCCTGGTGCTGGCGCGTCTGGGGGAGCTGCTGCATTCCTTGGGGAGACCCTTCGTCATTGGAAGGGGACTGGAGCGCGACGCCAGGGGAGCTGGCCGCCCAAGGCTGGGCTAGCAAGTTAAGAGCCCAAAGCATTGCACCGAGGGATGTATCGCGTCGGCGTGTCGTCCGGGCAAGGGTAGGATTTGGGATTATTTCGTTGTTTCCGACGTCTTGGCGCCGAGCGTCCTCTGTTGCACGGTCTCGGTCAACTCGTTTTTGGCGCCCCATCGGCCTGTGGCAGGCTCCACAGCAGGGCTCTCCCCGCCACCATCGCGGTCTTCGATGGGCCCTGCAGGTCTCCGCAAGAAGCCCCAGTTGGCCCTGTTCCAACCCCCCCTGCTGGATGGCAAGATGTCTTGGTGAAGTTAGAGGCTCAGGGCTCCCAGAAGGATCTGGATGAGGCCTACTCGGGGTTCATAGATCTCATGGAGCGCGAGCTCTTGGGCGCGCACGGGATCCCAGAGGACCAGCACAAGAGGTGCCAAGGTCGTGGGCTAGGCTCGTCGTTCAAGAGATTGCCTGGTCTGCCTAAGGGGAGGGGCCCTTACCCCGTCGCGTGTGAGGAGGCTCAATCTTGGAGGGTAGTTGCCAACTGGTTGCGCGAACTAGGGCGCACCCATGCCAAGTTTGAGGTTCGGAACACGATGATCGCGTTATGCCTGCTGGCGAAGGTCACGATAGGCCTTAGGCAGATTCGAGGCACCCCAGCCTGGACCCACTTTTGTCGTCCTGCAGCTGAGTGGGCCAGCTTCACGGCTGAGGAGTTGTGCGACTTCTCTCGGCTGGCTGCTGGGCATGCTGCTCGGCTCGAGCCTTCCTTTTCACGGTCGAGAGGTGCTCAGTGGAGGCAGTTCGTCAAAGAGGCAGTTGCCAACGGTGGTGGGCGAGCCCATCGCTATGCCCGGTGCCCTGTAGGTTGGAGGCCCACTCATGTTCGGCATGGGGAGCCAGCTCCACCTGGCCCTGAAGAGCAACTTGAGGGGTACTTGAAGTCTCTGGAGTCTGTCTGGGACGTTCACGGTTCTGGAGACCCCGACCCCGACGATTGCGTGGCGCAGCTTAATAAGTTTCTTGAAAGTCAGGAGTGTCCGAGGGTTGTCTTCGAGCCAAATGCAATTCGCAGAGCTGCCCGAAAGTTCAAAGCTTGGACGGCCATGGGGGTGGATCGTCTTGGGCCGCGTGATTTTTGCTTGGTTTCCGACACTTGCATGGAGGGGCTCCGCTTGCTTTGGGAGTGGCTGCCTCGTACGGGTATGCTTCCAGCTCAGTCGGGCCTCGAGCAGATGCCTTCCTTGCCTAGGACCTAAGCCTGACGCGGGCACCAGGTTGATCGGCCACTTCGGCATGATCCTCAGGTTGCGGGGGAAGTGCCCCAGGGGCGCTGCAGTCCGCTGGGAGGCCTTGTATGACAGACCCTATCTTGACGGGGCCAAGGGCCGTTCGTGCGAGCAAGCTGTTTGGGAACAGGCCTTTGCTACCGAGCACGCGGTGGCTCGGGGCCTGGGCGCCGCCAATACTTTTGTGGACCTCACGAAGGCCTATGAAAAGGTCCGACACGAACAGCTCATTGCTGCTGCGCAGCGCCTGGAGTACCCCCTTTTTTTCATCCTCGACTTCGCTTGCAGGTGCATCGGGCTTCAAGGGTTCTGCTTCTGGGAAGACGAGCTTCCCGTTGTGTCACCATCTTGGCAACCATCATTACAGGCTGTTGGGATACGACCTCTCACTTGCGCGCGCTGATTCTGGAAGTGGTTGACGACTGCAACCGGAGATTTCCAGGTTGCCGTTTCTTCAGTGTGGTGGACGACATCACTACGCATGTTGTCGGCACGGCTCGCTGTGTGGAGTCTTCCTCTATTGCTGCAACCAGGGCTCTTCGTCGCGGACTGGAGGCGCACGGGCTGGTCATTGCTCGCGCAATGGGTAAGGTCACGGCTTCTGCCCGCGGGTTGGCGCAGAAAGTTGCTGAGGGCCTACGGCAGTGGCAGTTCAAAAATGCTCATCATGTCAAGAACCTGGGCGTCGACTTCACTCAAGGGCGCGCTGGAAGACGGCGCGTTGGCATCCAGGTTCAGCGAATCCACAGAGTTCGAGCTCGTGCTGGCAGGTTTCGGTCGCTCAAGTCTCAGTTCAGGAAGCTCACGCTCATCGCCAAGTCTGGAGCGATTCCTGCTGGGTCATATGGGATTAGCATCTCTGGGGCTCTCGGACAGTCGGCTGGAGCAAATTCGAGCTGCAGTAGGTTTGGGCCTTTTCGGGCCTGCCAGGGGTAGGTCTCGCACGATGCAGTTCCGGCGTTCCCCGGGCCCTGAGGCTGATCCCAGTTGTTCCAATGATGTTTCGCCTCTGGCTGCCCGGGGTCAAGCTCTCTGGGAATCTTGGGCGAGGGGCCACATAAATTCTTTATATGTATGCGTTGTGCTTGCACATTAATGATCTCTTGCTGCGTCCAGCGCCGCATGTCGCAACTTATGCTCAAGTTTTTCCAGGGGAGGATTTCCCGGATGGGGGCTCAGTCCGCCCTCGTCGAGTCCTTCCAGTCCGCAGGGATCCGCGCTCTCGAGCTGCTGGCGCTGCGCCAGCCCCCCCTCTCGGCGGTGCCCCAGTGCCCCGCTGTCTCGCTGGCGTGCCCGCCCGCGAACGTCACGTGCCCCGTCCAGGTCTGCCCAGCGCTGGCCTGCCCCACGCCAGCGTGCCCCGTGCCGCTGGTGAACCTCTCCTGCCCGCCTGCGGGAGTGGCGCTCGGGCCTGACGGGCTTGACGTGCCCTCGGCCTGCTGGGGCTACCTGGCGGGAGTCTCCGCGGGGCTCGGGCTGGGCGGCGCAGTCTGGCGGCGCGGCGGCCGCGCCGACGCCGAGTCGGCAGGAGTGGGAGATCGAGCGCGGGAGCAGCTGCAGCTGATCAGGAGACGCAATGGCGAGAGTAGGTGACTACGTGCTCTTCCAGTACGACTTGCCTGGACCGCCGGTGTATCATGAAAGGCTCGCGACGGGGGTCTCGATCGGGGATCCAGGGCTCGTCAGCACGTTCTCGCCTGATGGAGACCACTATGCAGAATATACGACGTCGGACGACCTCAGAGATGCGCGGTGGTCGGGGACGCAGGGCGCGACCCCGCCCGGTGTCGACCCGGACCACGTCTACCGCTTCCGCCAGGTGCCGACGGCGGCGGAGATCCAGCAGCTGATCCGCGAGGGCTCGCTCCTCGTCGGGGGCGTGGCGCCGCCTGCTGCCGCTGCCCCCGCCGCCGCAGCGGCGCCCGCGGCGGGTCCTCCCGCGGCGGCCGCACCCCAGGAAGCCATCGTGCCTCGCGGCGCTGGCGCGGTGGGAGGAGTCCCGCGCGCTGGGGCCGCGGCCGCCCCCGCAGCAGCTGGCACAGTGTGGCTGGCGATCGAGGACTACCAGGGGATGCGGCGCGGCGAGCAGATGCCTGACCCGCTCCCGCAGGGCGCCGTCGTTCACGGTGACCTGGCGCTGGCGCCTCATGCAGGGGGTTTCGTCGGAGCGCGCCAGGTGGCCATGGCCGACGTGGACGCCTTCGTCGTGGACGACCTGCGCGCGCTGCCCGTGCGGTTCAACCAGCAGGGGGCGCGCCGCCGCCCATGCAGCGAGGCCGTGGACATGCAGATCGTGGACGAGCCCGAGGGCGGCATCATGCTGCAGGGGCCGCGAACTACTGATTGGGTGCTGCGGTCGTATCGTGATGCCGGGCTCACGCCAGCCACTCATCATTCGAACTGGCTGAGGTCGGCGCGTATCCCTGATGGAGATCGCTCGATTCACGAACACGAGGTTCTGTGCCACGTGCTGGAGGCGATGGTGACAGTGGACCAGCTCAATGCCCCAGCGCTCCAGAGCGCTGAGCTCGTGGTGCGCAGGATTCAGGTCATAGAAGACGCTCACTCGGCCTCTCCCTCGAACCCGGACTACTCCGCGGCCGACGAGTTCATGGGCTGGGCCACTCATCGCCAGGGCGCCGCGGTCGCGCCCGACTTGCAGCGCCACGTTGCCGCGGGCATGCGCGACCGGGCCGCGATCCTCAAGGAGGCTCGAATGGCGAAGGAGGAGCAGAAGCTGCGCCGCGGCAAGGGGGGCGGCAGGACCGACGCCAGCGGCACTGGCGGGCAGGGAGCATGACGGCTCCCAGTCGCGGGGGCTGGCCGGCCCGCGACGGACACAAGGCCTGTGGCGCCTCGGCGGCACGCACCTTCCGTCCTCGCGCTGTTCCTGGCGCTGAGGGTCGTGGGGTACCGACCGACTGCGGCCGTGGGGGCCCAGCGGCACGCGCCTCACGTCCTCCAGCCAGGGCAGCCTTCGGGGATCGGGAGGTACCGACCGTCCGAGGATCGTGTGACATGGGACGCCCTCCTGGGCTGAGAGCAGCTGAAGATCGCCAGCGTGATCTGTTCCCGCTGCCCTCCATTCAGCCGACTCCGCCTACTTCTGCGCCAGCGTCTACGTCGACGAGGCGAAGGCTGGCTCACAGGCGGCAGACGGAGCAGTGTGCCAATGATGCCATTGCGGGCCTCAACGCTCTCCATCCTCCTTGCGAGCAGCGTGGGCCCATCACGGCGGCTCAGCGACTCGCGACCGCCACCATTTTGAACGAGGTCAGGATGGCCCCGAAGTCTGACACTCACTTTTCTCGCCGTGGAGCCGCGAAGGAGCTCCTGGCCTCCAGCCTGTCCTACACCGCGGACGAGGCACCGAGTCCCGTGGTAAGGTACGTCAGATCCCGAGTCGACATCCCAGAAGAAGGTGCGGTCATACATCCTGTCGAGTCGGTGCTCGACGGGATCGGGAGGAGCTACGTGCTGGACTACGAGCAAGCGATGATGAAGACTCCCGACGAGTGGCCCCGCGTCTTGGATAGCGAGCCGCCCGTCACTCCCTACATGGACGAAGTTTTGAAGCGTGACCCTGTGGCGTACAACACCTTCATCGGCGACCTGGTGAAGGCTAACATGCTGGGGTTCACGTACCGCCCGAAGGACCTGGTCACCCCTTTCTTCGTGGCCAAGAAGAGTGGAGCACAGCGTCTCGTCTGGGACGCTAGAGTGCCGAATCGACGTTTTCGCGACCCGCCGCCGCTGGCCATGGGGACATCGGCTGCGTACGGTCGCCTTCAGCTACCTGATGATCGTGAGGAGGACGGCAGCCTCAGCACCAAGCTCTTCTGTGCCCAGGCTGATGTGCGCAACTACTTCTACGCTCTCGGCCTGAGGGAGGAGCTGGGACTGTTCTTCTCGCTGCCGCCGGTGTCACAGGCTTCGTTGTCGCAATGGGGGGTTGAGGCAGTGGACACTCCCGAGGGCCCCTCAGGGGGCTGGGTCTGGCCGTTCCTGCGGGTCGTGCCGATGGGCTGGTCTTGGGCTTTCTGGCTTGGGCAGCGTGCGAATGCGCACGTCTGCTGCTCTGCCTCGGGGCTCGGGTTCCCGCGGGTGCTGACCGATCACGGTCCGGTGCCCCCGCTCGACGGGGGGGTCCCTTGCCTCTTACCCTATTGCGATAACATCAACGTGATCGGCACTGACCCTGACAAATGCAATGTCCTGATGCACCAGATCTGCGACGCCTGGAGGAAGCATGGCGTGCAGATCCACGAGGTGGTTGAGGCCACCGACGTCTTCACCAGCCTCGGCCGCCTGATCGACGGCGCGTCTGGGCGAGTTTTCTCACGGCCCGAGCGCTCCGAGCGCCTCCGCCAGGCCTCACTGTGGCTAGAGCAGCGCCCTAGAGTCACGGGGAGGGAGGTGGAGAGGTATGTGGGTCATCTCATTGATCATTTGATGCTGAAGAGGGAGCTGCTCTCGATCCTCAGGAGTTTGTATGATTTCGTCAGAGATTGCTATCACGTGCGAGCCCGTCTCTGGCCCTCAGCTGCCCGCGAAGTCGAGCAGTGCCGTCGCTTGCTGCCGCTGATGTCTGCTAACCTTCGGCTTCAGTGGTCGCCGACTGTCTTCGCCTACGACGCTTGCCTGACGGGTATGGCGACGTGCCAGACAACACTGTCATCGGATCTTGTCAAGCGCATCGGGTCAGTCAGTGAGAGATGGAGATATCGCATGCCTTCGGCTATCTCGGCACGCCGGTCAGCTCTGGGAGTCCGTTCTGGATGCGACGAGGCCTCGGAGGGGCCGTTCGACGTCTTCAGCGACATCGAGACCGTCAAGGCCCCCAGGAGTACCAGCATGGACCTTGTCAAGGGCCCCTGGGAGCTCAACCCGCAGTTCGCAGAGGTGCCCGTCCAGGCTCTGCATGGCCCCCAGTGGAAGCAGGTGGTCTCGGCCAGGGTTCACGTCAAGGAGCCCATCACGATTATCGAGGGGAGGGCTTCGAACATGACATCACGTCATATCACGAGGGCACAGGCCTCCTTTGGTCTCCGTCATCTGCGTTTCGGGGACAACCTCGGCACCGTGCTCGCGCTAGGACGTGGGCGATGCTCCTCCTACCCCCTTCTGCTGTGCTGCCGCAGAGAGGCTGCCTACTCCGTCGCCACTGCGTCGCGGTTCGAGCATCGATGGATACCTTCGGAGCTCAACCCTTCCGATGAAGGGTCGAGGCGCTGGGATGCCAAGTCGGGAGGTATCTCGCCTGCCCCGCGCGGTGGCCGTCAAGCGCCCGGCTGCCAGCCCCAAGATTGTGCAGAAGAGCTTCCTGAAGGGCAGGCCGTTCGTTGGGGCGACGAAGGAGGAGAGGATCGCTCACCGTCTGCGGGCCTCTGGGCCGTTCGCAATGGTGGGGGAGGACGAGAGGAGCTTCCTGGAGTGGAACGCGGTGGCGCCCGAGACCCAGGCATACTACAACGACGCCCTCGACGACTTCCAGACGTTCGTGGATCTCTTCGGGCTGCCGCTGCGCACCGCTGCTCAGGTCGACCTGGCGCTGATGAACTACGCCGATTACGCCTGGAGCATCGGGCTCGAGAGAGCCGCCGCCCTGAAAACATATGCCGCGTACATCTCGGCGCACCCCGACTTTTCCCGAAAGGGGTCGCTCCGCCTGCCGCGTTTCTGTCGGGCCCTCCAGGGCTGGAAGCGCCTGGACCCAGGCCAGACGCGCCCGCCGATGCCCTGGCAGGTGGTCGCGCTGGTCGCACTGGTGATGGCCACGCAGCTGGGGTCCCCGCACGCGGCGCTCATGGTGGTGACGATGTTCTGGGTGTACTTCAGGCCCTCCGAGGCCGTCGGCCTGCGCGAGCAGGACCTCTTCCTCCCCTCGGGCTCGTGCACGGACTGCGGCTTCAACCTGCACCCCAGCGCGAGGGGCGAGTACAGCAAGACCAGCATGTCGGACGAGAGCTTGCTCCTCGATTCGGTCGAGGTGCCCTGGCTGGGCCCGCTGCTGGCGCGCGCGAGGTCGGGAGACCCGCAGGCGCCGCTGTTCCGTCTCACCGCCGCGCAGCTCGGCGCCCTGTGGCGCCAGTCGCTGGAGCGGGCCGGGGTGCCCACCAGGTGCGTGCCCTACCAGCTCCGCCACGGGGGCCCGTCGCACGATCGCCTCAAGAGGTATCGATCCATGGACGAGATCAAGAGGCGCGGGCGGTGGGCCAGCGACTACACGATGAAGCGCTACGAGGCCCATGCGCCGGCGCAGCAGGAGCTCGCAGCACTCCCGGACGACGTCCGCCGCAGGGCCGAGGCGGCGCCCGCGAAGCTGCACGCCGAGCTCGAGAGGCTCCTGGCGAGGCCCCAGAGGCCGCGGAGGGCCACGCCGTCGGCGCGGCTGCAGGCGGCGCCCGCGCCCAGCATGCGCCGCCCCGCACCTTCTGCCAGGGTGCCGCAGCCCGCGCCCGTGCCAGGCCTTTCGTCGAGCTCATGTGCGGCTCCGCCGCCTTTGCCAAGGCCGTCCACGCCGCCGGCTGGGCTTCGGAAGGCTGGGGCTACGCTGATGACCCGCGAGCCGACCTTCTTGATGAATCCCTCATCGACAGTCTGGTATCGAGGATCTCCCGGAAGGAGGTCGCGGGTGTGCATGTTGGCCTGGACTGCAAAACGTGGAGCCGGGCAAGGAAGAATGATGGGCGGGGTCCGCCGCCACTCAGGGACGATGCTAACGTGCACGGCCTCCCTCGGCTGGCGGCGGCGGACGCTGAGAAGGTTAGGATCGCCAATCGTCTGCTCGCTAATGTTCTGCGCCTGCTGGCGGCTGCCGTCGAGGCGGGAGTCCCTTTCTCTCTCTAGAACCCTCGCTCGTCTCGCCTCTGGCTGGTCCCGGAACTTCTGGACAGGGCCCGCGAAGCTCACGCCGAGTGGGCTTCTGTTGATTACTGCCAGTATCAGGCCCCCTGGAAAAAGTCGACAACCTTTTTGCTATTCAATTGGCTGCCAGCGCAGCCGTCCCTCCGCCTGCGTACAGGCTGTCAAAAAAAGGTGTAGTGCCATTGGTAAGGCGCACATAACACTGAAGGGTAAAGACCCGCTCGGTGTGTTCTGGACCTCAAGAGCGTGTCCTTACCCTGCGGCGCTCTGCAAAGATCTCGCAGTGCTGGTGGTGGCCAAGGCCAAGACACTGGATGGCAGTGGGTAGGGGCTCAGAGTCTTGAATGCCGCTCGCTCAGTCTGTTCAGGTCAGCGCCCTCGTGCTGCCCTGTCACCGCCTGCCGCTCGTTCTCTTGAATTGCTTCCAAGCAGCGGAGCATGCCGAAGGAAAATTGATCTTGGCACGGGTAGCAGCCTAAGCTCATGCGTTGTGCTTGCACATTAGTGATCTCTTGCTGCGTTCAGTGCCGTATGTCGCAACTTATGCTCAAGTTTTTCCAGGACCCGCCTGCCGTCCCCATCTTCCACCTTCCTGGGCGTCACTTCGCCAACCCAGGGGGCTCAGAGTCTTGAGTGCCGCTCGCTCAGTCTGTTCAGGTCAGCGCCCTCGTGCTGCCCTGTCACCGCCTGCCGCTCGTTCTCTTGAATTGCTTCGAAGCAGCGGAGCATGCCGAAGGAAAATTGATCTTGGCACGGGTAGCAGCCTAAGCTCATATGTATATATTTATATTGATAGTTATATATATATAGATATATATGTATATATCAGATGTTCCTGAATGCTGGTAATGATTTTTCCTGGAGCAAGGTCAAGGGACCTACGGGAGCGGCGCTGCTTACGTTGCGTCGGCTTGGTTGGGTCCCTCGGGGCCTCTCGCGCTGGGTCCTGCCCTCGGGTCTCGTCCTGGATCTGGATCAGGTTCGTAAGCACGCGCTCGTCCAGGTAATTAAGGCGGGCACTAAGGATGCGCTCTTAGCCAACGTCGGCTGGGAGTGCCGCAGCCTCAGCTACTCTCGGCCTGATCTGGATGCCATCGCTAAGGTTTGTTCTGATTTGTGGTCCTCGGGCAAAGCGTTTCAGGCCGGTTTGTTGGCCACGCACGCGGCGGGAGGCCTTGTCCCGCAGGCCGAGCTTTTCCAGGACAGACAAGTTTTAGATCCCAGGTGCCAAGTGTGCCACGGAGCGAGGGGCACTCGGCATCATCGAATCTTTTGCTGCGACGGCCATGCTGAGTTTCGGAAGGGCCTCGGCTTCGACGAGCTGCTGCGTGAGTGGCAGGCCGGGGGCCCTGATGACCCTATGCTGGCGCGCTGCCTCCAGCAGTGTGTAGTGGCCCGCGCGCCCAGGATGCGCGGTGTCAGTCCTTGGCGCTGGGTCGCCCTTCCTCGCCACGGCTGGATTTCGGGGAAGATCTGCACGGACGGGTCTGCCGTGGACCCTGGGCTGCCCCTGTCTACGAGGGCTGCGTGGGCGTTTGTGGTTGTCGACGACGCTGGAGGCGTCTTAGTCTTAGCTTCCGCCCGCGGCCCTCTGGAACACGGGCTGCATTCTATATACGGTGCTGAAGTGTTTGCTATGCTGATGCGTCTTCGGCTCTCGGGCCCAGACGATTGTCTTGTCGGTTCCGATTGCGAGGCTCTATTGAAAGTCTGGGCCCAAGGGGCCGATTTTGACACCTTCGCTATCCCGCATGGAGCTTTTTGGAGCGAGATTTGCTTTCGGCGCAAGGATCGGGGTGCCGAAAGTTTCCAGGTGTTCAAGATTCCAGCTCACAAGAGCTGGCCTGCTGCGTCTCACCAAGGAGCCCCCTTTTGGGCCTGGAAGGGAAACAGGGTGGCGGATCGCACGGCTCAGGACGCCGCTGCTGAGATCCCGCACCCTGAGTCTCTGATGCGGTAGTATAAGAAGCAGCGAGATAAGATTGAATCACTGGCAAAGTTCACAGGTCTCGTTTTGGAAAGAGCGTGCAAGCCGACAGTTCGCGACGCCACCAAAGTGGTCGGTCGCAAGAGTAAGTTGGAGCCGTCTGGTCTTGTCCTAGTCCCTGAGCCTAATGGCCACATTATCCTGAGATGGGGTAAAGGTTATGTGTGTGGGCGTTGCATGGACACAGGGCGGACTTACTCTTCCTTGGCAAGTTGCAGGTGTCAGGGGTGGCCCAGAGTAGCTCGAATGGCGCATCCCTCTCACAAGCTGTGGGCGGGAGATCCCAGTGCCCCGACCCCCATCGCCTGGTTTTCGGTTTGCGGCGCGTTCGCGAGGCAGCGCATGCACTTGTTATCAGGCCGCTGCGGCGGGCGGCCTCGCAACGACGACGCTGCGCGGTATCTTTCCCGTCTGAAAGAAGGCCGCGAACCGAGCGCGAGACGTCATTTCTTCGGTCGTAGCACGCTGCTGAAGGGTCGGCAGGCAGTGTGACATGACCGCCCTTTCCCCCGCTCCCCTCTCTTTGCTGTGGGTTCAGCTCGCTCTGGATTGCGGATCCTGCCGCGCAAACTGGAAACTGGAAACAGGATGAGGAACGAGGAGTAGGATGAGGGGGGGCGGCGACGGTAGTAGTCGCAGTGGTAGTAGACGCTGCGGTTGTCATGGTTGTATGTGGTCCTGCCCCTTCTCCTTCTCTTCCTCCTCCTCCTTCTCCTCCCTCTCCTCTTCCTCCCTCTCCCCCTCGCCCCCCCTCTCCTCCCCCCCCCTCCACCTCCGGGTCCTCCTCCCCTTCCGTCCCCCCCGCGGGTCTTCTTTGGGCCAATCGGATCCCCGTCCCCGCCGCCCCCCTCCAGGATGCAATCGCGATGCTGGTCCAACGCGTCTTCAACGGCTCTCACCTCTGCGTGAGCGCCCAGGAGGTATTCATGGACGCTTGGGCGGAACCGAACGTGACGCCCCCCGTCGTGTCGCGTACTATGTGCATGCATGCATGTCCATGGATCCATGTGCATGCGCACGTGCGTTGTGTGTCTATGAACTATTCGCGTGTGGCGTTGCGTTGCGCATGTGCCCGTAAGTGAGCAGGCTTTGCATGTAAATGTGTATTTTTATGTTGCGCCCATGGGTGTGTTGTGCCATAGTATTGGTGGCCATGCGAGTGTCTTGTTAACGTGCACATCGCGTAGTAGCGCTGTGTCAAGTGTACGGACTGCGGCGTCATATAATGCACGTTGAAGTGTGTACTTCTTTATGCAATGCTGTTACGCAGCGTATTCATCAATATGTGTATATGGTTGTATGATTAGCTTGGTATATGTTGTGGTACACGAAGCACACATGAAACAGCATGCGTGCTTCTGTGTTGGCCGGTGGTGGCAACTTGCGCTTTCGCGCTCCTCCTTCATCGCGATGCCCCCCCCTCCTGTTCCTCCTCCTCCTCATCATCCTCGCCCTCCTCCTCCTCCATCCAGCCTTCCCCATCCTATGTCCCTGTCCTCCTCCTCCTCCTGTTCCATCCCCCTCCTCATCATGTTCTTCCTCCTTGTATTCGTCCTTCCTCCCCTCTCCCTCGTCCATATTCCCTCCTTCCTCTTCCCACCTCCTTCCTGCTCCTCCAACCCTCAAGCCACTTTGGCCCAGGCATTTTGCCCGGGCAAAGGCGCCCGCCTCATGCGCGGTGCTTGAGTGGCACTCGCGGCTGACCAGACACACTGTTAGCAAGCTTTCGGTCAGCAGCGCGAGTTGGCAAAAGGGGCGCGCACCAATCACAGCCAGCCATGGGCGGTAAGGGCAAGAAGGCCGCAGCAGGGCAGCAGCAACAGTCTGGAGCTCCAGCGCCGGCCGACCCTTGGACCAAGTGCACGGGCTGCGGCAAGTGCGAATGGAACCGCATTCTCGCCAGCCAGGGCGGGAAGTGCGGCAAGTGCGGGCTGAAGCTCACGCTGCGCAAGCCCGAGCCGAAGGACCAGGGCGATGGGCAGCAGGGGGGCACCAGCCTTCGCGGCGCAGTAGGCGGTGCTCCAGACGCCGTGGCGACGCTGGAGGCCGCGCTGAAGGTCGCGCAGGATCCGTCGGCGAAGGTCATCCTGGAGCAGCAGCTGGGCCAGGCTCGCGCGGCGGCGTCGCTGCCCACGAGCGTGTCCGCCGAGGATGCGGTCCGCCTGGCGGCGAGCGCCCGGCGCGACGCCTCGGTCAAGTGGGGGCAGGCCCGCGCCCAGGTCGGCAGGTGCGAGCTCAACCTCCAGCGCGCTCGCGAGCGCGAGGAGGAGACGGCTCGCACGATGGCGCTCGCGGAGATCAGCAAGCGCACCGCGGTGGCGGCGCTGGCGAAGGCTACGGGCATAGCCCCAGAGCCTGGCCCCGCGCCCGAGACGCCGCTCATCGACCTGTCGTGGGATGCTAGTTTCTTCAGCGGCATCGATGACCTCGACTGCGCGCCTGAGGAAAATGAAGAGTTGAAGAAGATCGAGAAGGAGCTGCTGGCCGCCAAGGAGAGTGTGCAGTCGAAGGCGGAGCAGGTCGCGCAGTGGCGGGACCGCGCCCAGTGGCTTCGCAAGGAGGTGCAGGAGCGCCTGGCGAAGAAGCGCCGCGCTGACGGCGGCGAGGGAGGTGCGCAGGGCGCGGCTGCTCCTGGCGCAGGCGCGCCTGGGGCCCCCCCGCCCGCGGCGGCGGCAGCAGGCGGCGCGCCGCCCCCTGCCGCGGCGGCGCCGACGGCGGGAGGCCCCGCGGCGGCGCCCCCCGCAGGTCAGGCTGCTGCTGGCGGCCCCTCCGAGGAGCAGATCAAGGCGGAGATGGACAGGCTGCGCGCGGCCGCGACGGCAGGGGCGGAAGCGGGCGCCGACGCCGCGCCGCAGGCGGCGGCGGGGGGGGCGTGAGCTCCCGCGGCGGGCGAGGGGGTAGCGGCTGCCTCGCCCGCCGAGCCGCCCGGGCCGCCCGCTGCAGCTGGCGGCGTCGACGCTGGAGGCGAGCTGAGCCTGTGCAGTTTCTTCTTCGCGAACGTGACTTGCTTGGGCCCGAAGGCTTGGAATCACATCAGTCCGCCAGCTTTCACCAAGCAGTACCAGTACATAGCCTTGACGGAGACCCATGCTGGATGCCACACTCGGTCGAAGTGGGCGCGGAGTGCCAGACGGGCGAAGTGGAGGTTTATCGACAACTCTGCCCGTGCGACGGGGGGAGCGACCTCGGCGGCCACCGTGGGCAGGGCCAACGAGGGCGGGGAGCTCTTCATGTCGGAGGGCCACAGGTGCGTGCACAGAGTGATCCCTAAGGCCTCCTCTGTGCCTAGTTTCTGTGCTGAGGGCTCAGATGCTCTCGACGGCTTCCTTCCAGTCGTCCTGCACATGGCTGTTTTTTTTTCGATTATCGCGATAATCTTTTACGCTCGCCCCTCGGTCGGATTTGCGGGAGAACATTTGCAGCGTTTCGCTCGCCTTGGAGCTTTCATCCAGAGTGTGCGCAATTACCTTGGTTTATCGTCGGTGACTTTAACATCGATATCAGTGTGTTTGAACGGTCGGCATTCTTGAAGCGAACCAAAGGATTCACCAAGCGGGCAGATATAGAATTCACTTGTGTCGGGAGTGCAGGTGGATCGCATATCGATTTTGTTGTAGCGTCAGTGGGTTGCCTTCCCAACATTCACAGCATGTCAGCAGCCACCGATGTGCCCTGGAGTCCTCACTGTGGTTTAGACATTCGCCTTCGTGGGGCGGGGCAGCAGCTCCGCATGAGATCCCTTGAGGTTGCCCCTTGCCTTCCCCAGGCCCCTCGTCCCCTCACCTCTCCAACCGCTGGTTCCACGAGTAGCGTTGCCAAGCTTGCTCATCAAGAGAAGGTGCAGCAGGCCCGAGAGCGCATTAGAGAGGATTGCGATAATTTGTTGTCCGGCGCCTTCCCAGCGTCAAGGCCATCCGAGCCAGTTCTTTTGGACCCTTCGGAGCCTGAGGCCACGGGTGGAAATCCCGAGTTCCCCCCGACGTTGGAACCCGTTTTGGATCCCGATTTCGATGGGTGCGATTTGGACTTCGGCCCCGAGGAGGAAGACCCTTGGGCCGAAGAGTCGCGTTTTAAGCCTAGTAGCAGCATCGACCAGCAGCGATTGAATAGTTGTGATGTAAAACAGAACTCGAATGTGTGCGCGACCTCTGGAGGGGGCTCAGAAGTTGGAGCTGGCGATTGCGAGGGTAACGGCTCAGCCCCTGCGTCTGGCCCTGGGGAGACGGGCCTCGGCACGGCCGAGGAGCAGTGTGATCTCACCCCTGCTGCTGCTGCCGCTCCTGCTCCCCTCCCGACTTTCTCCATTCCCAGCTCCACGTACTTAGCCATTTCGGCTAAAGTTCCTTGGCACTCACACTCTTCTACCGACGTTTGGTCGCCTATTAAGCAATCTCCCGCCTAGCAGGTAGGCGAGAAGCATGTACTCCCCATCAGGAATCAGTTCGCGCGATGGATAGACACCGTTGAGCGCACTATAACCTGCCACCACGGCCTCGGACAGCCCAGGGTTTCCCGACGGGCAGGGTTCGACGCGCGGGCGATGCCAGTGCGTCAGGCAGAGCACGTGAGGAGTCAGCCGTTCAAGGATGGAGTGGCAGGCTGGCGGGGCAGGCTCCACGCGGTGGCGCAGCGCGCGCTGCGGCACAGGCGACGGCGCAACGGCGAGAGCCAGGTGCTGCAGCTGGCCGAAGCCGCTCGTCGTCTGGCGGATCAGCCGCTGGATGGAGCAGGCTCCGCTTTGCCTCCTGGGCAGGGCTGCTGGACCCCCCTCCTGGTCGACATGCGGCGGCTGGGGGACCTATCGGTTGATCAGCTGACGGACTGGGAGGAGCGCTGCTTCAAAGCAGCTCGTCGCGCTCAGAGTCGTGCTGCCACGGCTTCGCTGCGCGAGCTTCAGGGCTGGACCAGTTCGACGGCGACGCAGGGGCAGGTTCACCGCAGCGTCAAGGACGGTGACCCAGAACCTGACGAGCTCGACGTGGACACAGGGGTTCTTGTGCACCCCATCGACATAGTGGACAAGAAAGTTGAGAAGTGGCAGGCCAAGTGGAGAGGGTCTGCCACACATAACAGCATCATGAGCAACTTCGACGACGTCAGGGCGCTCGCGGAGGTCGAGACCCTCGAGTCGCTCTCGGTCAGCGACTTGAGAGTGGCGCTGCGGGGCATGATGGCCCGTGCAGGCCATGGGGTGGACCGCCTGTCCCAGCTCGACTTCGAGCGCTTGCCGCAGGAAGGGGCCCCAGGAGATGTGCGACCTCTACACCTCCATCGAGGAGGGCCTCTCCTGGCCGTGGCAGGTCGTGCGCACGATAGGCAGGTTGCTGGCCAAGCGGCCAGGGGGCGACCGCGTCATCGGCCTCCTTCCGGCGCTGTGCCGAGCGTGGTCTATGGCCAGAGAGGTGCAGATGAAGGAGTGGTCGGCCCAGCAGGACGACCATTGGGACGCTGCGATCGCGGACAACAGCGCCCTGAAGGAGGCGTTCATCAGGGCGCTGCAGGATGAGTTTCAGTCGAGGCTCAACATCGATCATGGACATGGGCTTCTGGGCGTGGAGGCCTTCTACGATGGCATCGAGTGGGGGGCCCTGGCGCGATGTGCGGCCAGGCAGGGATTCCCGCCAGTCATTCTTTTTAGAGCTGCAGCTGTGCCTCATCCCGAGGCTCTTGCAGCAGCTCGACTCGGTGTCGGAGCCGTTTCAGGCCACCTGCTCCATCGTGCAGGGGCTGCGGAACGGCGCGAGGTTCGCCAAGTGCCTGACCGCCTTTGTGTGCAAGAAGCTCTGCGTCATGCACCCGTCGATGTCGGAGCGGATCTGGATCGACGACTTGTCGCAGCGGGTTGCAGGGTCGAGACGGCATGTGAGGACCACGCTCATCAAGACGATCCTTGCCACCGTCAGGGAGTTCAGGCGCCTCGGCTTGGGCATCTCGCCCAAGAGAGTGGTCACATGTTCTCAGCATAGTGATGCAGTTGCAGTTGTCAAGGTTTTGCAGAGGCGAGGCGTATCGCTGTCAGCGGTGCTCCAGTCGGCGCACTTGGGCGTGGACCTGAGTGCGGGGCGCCGCCAGGGCAGAGTTACGGTGCGCAAGAGGGGCACCAAGGCCGCCAGGGCTCACGGCAGGCTCCGGCGCTTTGCCCAGGTGGCCAGGCGGTGGGGGGGCCACTGCCAAGCTGCAGCGCGCTGGGCCTCAGGCGGCGGCGGTGCACGGCCACCAGGTCTACGGCGCGTTCGGGTCAAGCATGCAGCTGCTGCGGCGGCGCTTGGGGGCGGCAGCGGGCTCGTCCAAGAGAGGGCGATGCCTCGCCGCGCTCCTGGCCATGCGTCTCCCAGGCGCAGATCCCGCTGCCCTTCTGCCTCGTCAATGTATATCGTTGTGGCTTTCAGTTTGGTTGGAGGAGCCGCAACTCAGGCCGTCGATCTCTCTCGCGTGGCCGGCCACGGTCAAGCATTTGATGAGCATCAAGCCTGAGTGGCGGAGCCGACATGTTAGGGGGCCGTTGCCCACAGTGATTCTGTACCTGCTAGAAGCAGGGTGGACTCCAGTTTCGCAAGTGGAGTGGGATGTGCTGAATGACGGTGCTCAGGCAGGCTTCTCTTGGAGATTCGGAGATGCCGAGTTCGCGAGCCTGGACCAGGCAGCCCCGCTGCTCGACGAGCTGCAGCACACCATGGAGCTGAAGCAGTGGCGTCTAGCCGCAGAGCTGTACTGTGGCGAGGGCCTCGAGGACGGAGTCGACATGCATTCATATCGGAAGTTTGTAGATGATCTTACGCAGGCCAAGCGAGGACGGCAACTGTCGGAACTTATGGTTTCGATTGCCACAGGTGGGTCCTGGCCCAAAGCTCGGAGTTTCGATGAGCATTTGAATGGTTGTACGAGTGATGTTTGTGAACGGTGCAGAGAAGGCCGAGAGACGGCGTTGCGCCGATTTTGGACCTGTGCAAAAAACGACAGCTCACCAGCATACGCACATCTGCATCCCTTCTGCCAGAAGCGGTCGCCAACTCTGAGGCGCACCCTTGTTTTTGGATGCGGGGGCTCATCCCTGCCTCTTGGACTCAGGTCACTCCTCCTCCTTCCTCTGAGTCTTGGTACGGCAGTAGGCTTCTTAATGGAGGCCTGGTAGGGCCTGCTTGTCCTGGGGGGGAACCCCTGAGGAGCCCCGTATAGTTTTTGGGGATGCGTCTGGGGGGGCCGACACCCACGATAGTCGCCTCCGTAGAGTAGGCCTCGGTATAGCGTGCATTAGCTCTTTCGAGCCCATCACTCTGGGGCCTCATTTGCTTGGGCCCCTCATCGGGGCCAGCCAAACGGTGCCTCGTGGGGACCTCCAGGCGCTGTCTTGGGCAGTTAGGTTCTCCGCAGGCTCGCTTTTGCACGTTGCAGATTGTGCCGAAGTTGCGAGGGGTTGGCACGAAGGCCAGCTCCAATCCCCTTCAGGGCCCCAAGCAGATTTATGGAGGTCCATCGTCAAGACCCTTCGCGATCAGCGAAGGGACGCGTTTCACATTTCCATAATTCGAGTTCCGTCGCACCTTGACGGGAGAGAGGTCGCTGTTCGTCAGTGGCCTAGCTGGCTCATCCAAGGTAATTGTGTGGTTGATGAGCTCGCCAAGGAGGCGGCCCGCCGAGCAAGAGCTCCCCTGGCTGACCGAGCCAGGCTTGCACGCGTTGAGAACAAAGCTCGGCTGGTCAGGAAACGGTTGTTGCGCGCAGGTCTTGACTCGATCGTTGCTGCCCAAGCCGGCCGCGACCCTCAGGCGCCCAAGCCTGCCCCACGCATCCCGCCTCCACCTCCTATAGCTGTTGCACGCTTCGCGTCCGCGCACGTCCTGACCGAAAGTGGGGGATCGTGCAGCGTGTGTAAAGGCTCGGCGGCTAAGGCGAGAATGGCAGACTGGCTAAAAAGTGAGTGCTTCCAACTCCACCCTGTGGGTGGTAGGTTATCCCGTCTACCCCGTGGGCGTAGGTTGCACCATGCAGGAGGCTGGGTCGACCCGTCACACGCCTTAATATTTCACCACTCTCTGAGGATATGGCACTGCGGCACTTGCGGCTTTTTCGGTCAGGCCCAGCTCAGGGGCTTAGGCAAGCCGTGCAGGGCACGTCTCCTCACTAAAACCCGACGAGAATACCTCGATCGGCTCTCTAGGGGATTGTTTCCCAAAGCTGGCAACTGAGCTCAGCTCAACTGGATGGCGGAAATCTTGGAAATCCTGCTCCTCCAACCGCCCTCCCCCCGCCCCCCGCCCCCGCCCCCCCTCTGCCCTATTCTCCCCTCCCTTTTTACTGTTGTTGTTATTCCCCCTCCGCCCGCTTCCCCTTTCCCTCGCCCCATCCTCCCTTTTCTCCTCTCTCATCCCTCCTCCCACCTTCCTCCCATTCCTCCTTTCTCCTTGTCCCCCCTCCCCCCTCCTCCCTCGCCCCCCCTCCTCCTTCCTCCTCCTCCCCCCCCCCTCCTCCTCCTCCTCTTGCTCATTCGCCTCCGTCTGCTCCTCTTCTTACCTCCTCCCCCTCTCCTCATACTGCCTCGTCGTCCTCGCGCGCCCCCCTCCTCCTCCTGCTTCGCCTCCCTTCGTCCTTCCTCCCTCCTGCTCCGCCCTCTTCCTTCTCCCTTATTCCCTCCCCCCTTCCGCCCTCGCTACTCCCTCCTCCCCCCCCCTGTTCCTCCTCCCCCTGTTCCTCCTCCTCCTTCTCTCTTTCTCTTCTCGCATCCCCCTCCTCTCCTGCTGTTTCCCCCTCTTCCTCCTCCTCTCCCCGTTCTCCAGCTCCGCCTCCTACTGCTCCTCATTATCCTTGCCCTCCTCCTTGTCCTGCCCCGCCCCCCCTGCTCCTCCCCTTGCGCCTGCGCGATCAATCCTGCGCTTGCTCGTCAATGACTTTTCGCGTCTTCAAACTCCCGTGCGCGTGCGCGTGCGTGCGCGCGCGTGTGCGCGTGCGTTTTTGTTCAGTTTTTTCTTTCAACGCTTTCGCTTTTCGGCCGACCCCCGGCAGGGTAATCCCACGCGCGCTCGTCGTTGAAAACCCAGAAATTACGCCTAGGATCAATGCTTACCAACCAATCGGGACCGAACCCACCGCGCCATTGGAGGGCGTCGAGGGCCGTGGCCCGCGGCGGGCCCTGGACGGGCACACTTTGAGCCGTTTGTTGGGCACTGGCAGAAGCGAGATGAACCAACGTATGCCAACGTGTCCGCACGCGCCGTCGATGTTTGTAGCGCGCGCGAGCTCGGCAGCTCTCACTGCTGCCGCTGCTAGCCAGGGAATTGCGTGTCCGCGCTCGCCTTCCAGAGCCAGGCCCCGTTCCGAACCAACACCGCTGTCCAGAAACAGTTAGTACGAGGTGCCTTTGGAGGCCTCGCGATGGTTCGTCGCGGATTGGAGGCTCCTTGTAGCGAGTGGCGGTGCCAGCATCGTGCGCGCGCGTTGGCAGGTGATCCCGCTATCTGATTGACGCGGTTTGTACGTTTGTGATTTTTGCTTCGTGCGTGTGCTGTGCCCGGTGCGGCACGCTGCGCCTCGCGTGCTTGGCCTGCCGCTGGTTTGCTCGGCGCGCGCGTGGCGCGCGCGCGTTGGTCGAGGGCGGCCCTCGATTTGTTCCGTGTTTGTTCCAGGCCCTCCTGCGCGTCAGGTCTTCGCTTGCGCTTTTCGCTTCATCCCTTCTGTTCGTCTCTCCTCTCCTCTTCTCCTCTTCTCCCCCTCCTCTTCCTGCTCTTTTTTTTCCGCTTCGTTTCCTCATCTCCCATCCCCTCTTATATTGCGTGTCTTCGTTTTGTGGCCGCGCCACGGCGATTTCAGCGCGCCCTTCGCGCCGCGCGCTGTTCGTTGTCCCCGAGCGATTTGTTTTTGAAAGTCCCTGTGGTGCGCACCGCGCGCCAGTGCCGCGACTAGTCTAGCGCGCCCATCGCGCAGTTCGCGGCCCCATGTGCAATCCTGCCGACGCGATGTGGCCGCGCGCCGCCTCCCCGACCATTCCTGATCAACGTTCGCAGGTTTCGTGGCCCCACGAGGAGCTCGACCGAAATCCCGCAGAGCACAGGCCGCACGCCGCGGCCCAGATTATTTGAGGCCGCCCATCTCGCGGTTCGCGGCTCCATATTCTTGGAATTCCATCGACGACCCCTGCGGCGCAGGCCGGGCGCCGCACCCGGGCCATTTCGTTTCGCCCGCCACGCCATTCGTGCCCCCATAGGGAGCACCACCTGATGCGTTGTGGCATAGGCCGCTGGCCACCGCCCAGACCATGTCAGCCCATTCAGAACACGATTCGCGCACCCCCGGGGAGGTCTACATATTTTTCCACCGGGCGCATGCCACCGCGCAGACCGTTGCAACAGGCCCATCGAACGGTTCGCGGCCCCATACGCAGCCCCCCAAGGGTTTTGTCGCACAGGGCGCATGTTGCCGCCCAGACTATTTCAGATCGCTTGTCATGTGTTTCGTGGCGCCATTAAAAGGGTTCCGCCGAAGACGCTTGCGTCGCAGGCCGCGCGCCGCCGCCCAGACCACTTCAGCTGTCCTCACGCGATCTGCGGCCGCATTCGGAAACTCCATCGAAACGCTTTCAGGCACAAAACGCACGCCGCCGCCCAGACCATTGAGCACGCGCCCCTCGCACTTCGTGGCCCCATATGGAACCCCGCCGAAAGAATTTGCGGCGCGTGCCGCATTGCGCCGCACAGACCATTTCAGCAACATTGCTCACGTGCTCAGTAGCCAAATTTGGAGCGCAGGCCGCACGCCGCCGCCCCCAGCCAATTCAGCGTTGCCTCTCGCGGTCCGTGGGCCCATGCGGAGTTCCATCGGAGAATGTTGTGGCGCAGGCTGCTCGCCGCCGCCCATGCCACTTCGTCGCAGTCTTCGCGCGGTCGGTGGTTTCGTGGGGGGCTCCACCGAAGGCCCTTGTGGTAGATTTCGCATGCGGAGTCGCGCGTGTCGGGCGGTCTTGTCTATTTTTCGCACTGCGTTCAGACATGGTTGGCGTTTCGCAGGGCTTATTTTGTCTCGGAGGGGCAAAGGGAAGATGCGGGCAAATGGGCCAGCACGATGGGAGGGAGCGACGACCAAGGTCATTATTGGAAGGATGATGCGGGCGAGGGGCGCCTCCGATGATTGGCGCTCAGACTACGCTGTTTCCAGCCTTTGAGCGACCAGTATCTCCCAGTTACATTCTATTCTGGCGAGGCTCGGGACTGACACTGTGGGCGGACGGCGCTGGGGGAGGGATCAACGAGGGAGGCTTAGGAGCAGAAGTGAGGGGGGGAGGGGCAGAGACGGGGGCGGCGGGCAGGGTTGGGGGTGGGGGCCAGAGGGCTTGCGGGGGAGTCCATTGGAGGCTCCGCGAGGGCCCCCATGGGCCCGCGGTGGGTCCGGACTCCCCCCCCCGCGGTGGGTCCGGACTCCCCTCGGCATCGTTTTTTTCCACGTCTGAGAAGACTGCCGAGGGGAGTCCGAACCCACCGCGGCCCCCATGGGCGCTCCCGCGGCGGTGGGTCCGGACTCCCCTCGGCAGTGGTTTTGGACATGTCTGGGGGGCCTGGCACGGGCTCGGCAGGGCCCCCTGGGGCCTTCGATTCTGTTGCGACTGGGGATCCAAAGTGCTGTTTGGGTCCCAGAGTTGTCGTGTCGTTCGGGGTGTGGGCGGGGGAGTATGTTGCCTCCAGATTACGCCACACTGGGTGCGCGAGAATGAGCTTGTGGAGCCTGAGCGGGGCCTGCAGTGGGCCGTCCTGGAGCTGTTTTGAAGTCTTGTAGCAGTGCCATGTTAGGATTTCGTGTTTTTCTTTCGGTGGGCATCTTGGCGACTTGGCGGCTCTCTGGCGCCCAATGGGGATCGATGGGCCGTTTTGGAAGCCCTGGGATTGCATTGCAGCGGACTCCGTTTGCCTTCGCGTCGCACGCCGTGGGAACGACGCGGAGGCATTTTAACCAATCGAAGAGTAGTGTGAAGGAACTTTTGGAGGCCGTAGTTTTTCTCAATCCTCCTGTCCGTTGGGTCTTCGTTGGGAGCCCGGAGCGCTGAGCGCCTCATCTCCTGCCTTCCCCCTCCTCTACCACCGCCTCCTCCTCCAGACCGCTTCAGTCCGTCATCATCTATCCTCTTCTCTCCTGTGTGGTCGGTCTTCGCCTAGGAGTATCCGCCAATGCAGTTTCCGCGCACCTCTCGAACGATTCGTGGCCCCATAGGGCTCCGCCGAAGGCCCCTGTAGCAAGGGCCGCTCCCTTCTGCTCGATGCCAATTCAGCGCGCACCCCGCGCGGTTCGCGGCTCCTGAAAGGGCGTTGCGCCGAACATTCTCGTAGCAAAGGATGCGCACCGCCCGTCCAGACCACGTCAGCGGGCCCCTCGCTCGATTCGCGGCCCCATCGGATAGCATTCCGAAGGCCTTTGAAGCGCAGGCCACTTGCCAACGCCCAGACAATTCCAGTTCCCCCCTCGCAAAGTTCGCGGCCCCATTGGGAGTTCCACCGAAGGTCTTTGTAGCGCAGGCCGCCCGTCGCCGCCCAGTCCACCCGAGTTCTTTATTCACGCGGCTCGTGGCCCCGAAGGGGGCCCCGCCGAAGCTTCTGGTAGCGCGGGCCGCATGCCGCCGCCCAGACCGCTTCAGGTCTTTATTCACCCCGTTCGTGGCGCCATAGGAAGTTCGGCTGCCGACCAGCAGACATGTTCAACGCAATTATTGCGCGCGCCGCGGCCTCGTGGAGGTTTACACCGAAGGCTTGCGATGCGCGCGCCGCACGTCGCCACCGACAGTATTGCGGCGCACTCTCACGCAGCTCGTGGCCCCACAGGATGCAACGCCGAAGGCTTCTGTCGCGCTGGCTGCTTGCCGCCGCTCAATCCAATCCAGCACCCCCCCTCACGCAGTTCGGTGCCCCATAGGGAGCTCGGCCGAAATTGTTTGTCCCGGTGCATGCCGCATGCCGCTGGCCAGACTATTTCATTTTATAGTTATTGCAGTTCGGGGTCCCATGCGGCGCCCCGCCGAAGGCTTTTGCGGCGCAGGCCGCTTTGCGCTATTTGGACTATGTCAGCACGCCCTGATACGGTTCGTGGCCCCACAGAGAACGTCACCACATTGGTTTTGAAGCACAGGTTGCTTGCAGCCGCCCAAACCATTGCAGTTTTTTCCTCATGCGGTTCGCGGAGTCATGGGGAGCTCCACCGAAGGCCCACGTAGCACAGGCCGCGCGCCGCCGCCCGGACCATGTCAGCGCAGTCTTCGCGCGGTTGTGGCCTCCAGGGGGGGTGCACCGAAGGTTGTTGTGGCAGAGTCCGCATTCACGCTCGATGTGCTGGCGTGCGTCGCATACGAATTGCGTTCTGAAAAACGGTTGGCTTCTTCGCAAGAGTGAGTATAGGTGAATATGTGTGGGGTTCGTCGTGAAGTTTTTCCTTGAACGTGTAGAACTGCGCCCCGAAAAGAAAACGAGTTTGGCGTTTGGACGGCCGGCAATGTAAGTCATGCCCAAGTTGCAACGCGCACCCTCTTGAGCTTAGCATGAGAGGTGCCTTCAACGTCAGCCCCGATCTTGGGCAAGCCACGCGCGGCGCTGCAGACATTCCGCAAGACCTACTTCACCACAAGTATGCGTGAGGACCGCTTATAGTGGTACACACCTGCAAAACGCGCAAGGCAACACAATTGTTTTGTTTCGCTTCGCGACGACAGAACTACATTGTGGACCAGCAAGACACATTACACATGACAGCAACACCGTAGCACATAATGCAGCCAGCCCTGACTACCCTCGGAGGACGCGGTGGGTTCGGCCCCGATTGCTTCGTAGTTACTCATGGAGCGCTGCGCCGTGGAGCGGGGCGCGCGCGGGTTAGCGTCTTTGCGCAGGCGCGCTGCGACAGCGATGGTATGTGAGTAGACTCTTATTGGTTTAAAGGTGTTTGCAAGTTGTAAGGTTTCTGTTGTCGGGGCAGGGGGGGGTATGTTTTCGTAAACTGCAGTGTCTGGTCGGTGAGGGGGGCGCTTGCCGCGCTGTAGATATTGCGGTCGTTTGCGCGCGGCTCGCGCAGCGAAATTTCCGATGTGGCGCAGCCGAATTCCCCCGTTACTAAAGTGAACGCACCTTTGGGGCCATGAGGCAATCGACGCTTGCGCGTGGGATTCCGCAATACTACCCGATGTTGCGCGCCGTTCGTTCTGCGGCGCGCGGCATTAAACGCCGCGCGGGCGCTGCGATCAACCGGGGCTCGGGGCGGGGGGGGGGGGGGCGGGGGGAGGGGATGCTTGTTCCACTCGTGTCGATGACGGATGGGGGGGGGGGTCCACCATCGTTTCGCGGGCAACTTCGGGCAAGGGTTCGCATTGAAAAGCGCCCGCCCCCCGCCGCGCGATCACTCGGCGGCGGAGCAATTGATTCGGCGAAATGTCCGCGGGGGGGGGATATCTGCTCGACGTTCTTCTTTTCAGCGGCTAAGGGGGGTCTGCGCGATCGG